ATTCGAGAGTTCAAACTAAAACGTCCAACTCTTAAAAGTACCTCTTATTTTCGGAAATCAGCTCAAGTATTTGAATAAACCTGCCTTCTGAAAAAATCCCGAAGAAAGAAAAAGTTAGATTTTCAAAAGACATACTGAAACATAGGCTTATAACACTTTAGAATCTAGAAATATATTCATTTAAATCAATTATTTACTGTTCTTATTTACACATAGTTATATTATTCATTGAATTACTGTTTTTGACCCTTTAGTACAATAAATGATGCATTTTTTGTCATTATTATTAACAAAATAAAAAATATATACTTATAAAAACAAACAGCACCAGCACCACTTGGCGGTAAGATTGCGGTGTTGCCTTTTTAACTTCATGGCTTGTTAAGTGTAGGAGGCTGTGCTAGTACTCATAACAGCGTGACGTTTGATCTGACATCATTGACATGCAGTGTTGCCAATAAGCGTGTAATTACACGATTTGCGTGTATTTTGATTGGCTTGCGTGTATTTTTCGAACATAAACAAAAAGCGTGTATTTTGCGTGTAATGTGAGAAATTTGATTTTCTTGTTCTGTTTCACGACTTTCTAATCGAAAGCCCCTGTGTCATGAATAGGACGTTTTCTCTTCCCTTGCATTCCATTCCATCATCTTTTGTCTGTCAAAGAGTCTGTCATGTGACTACCCTTATGCCCAAGGATAATACATACATTGCTTATCGGCCTGGTTTTTGGTAATCGCGGTTATACCGGGTGACAACGGAATCGTTATACAAGGCGTCATTCAGTTGTCTTTAAAGTTTTGAAAATGGGGTGGAACGGGTAAGTCATTTAGACGCACATTTTTCGTAAAAAAACAATTGAATATCACTTCCGGTTACTCCGGAAATGGACCCAAGTCAAGAAATTTTTATAGAACCATGTATATTTTTTTGCACAGTTGAATAGAGCTTAAAATTCCCTTTCCAATGACATATCACAACTTGCATTTGTTTCTAAGATGGCGGCGTAAGAAGGTATTTTTCTTCAAGAATCGTAAACTCTACAGGATTGCTCAATCCCATAAGACAAACGTTCATAAAAACATCGAAGATAGCGGTATGCGAATGACGTCACGCAGTCCTTGATCGGTTTGTGTTTTTTATGACAGTGCACTATCCTTGCATTTTCAAACGTGAAAAATTGTTATTTTGAGGTTATTTCCTTTGAAAACTAATTAGAAAGACGAGTTTGTTTGCTTTTGTTTATCAATTAGCCAAACATATTGCCAAAAAGTCAAAAAAACGAAAGGCTGGAGTCAAGCTGGCCCTCGGATTCGTTTCAAAGTTTTTTTTGTGTATGAAAATGAGCACAATTCGCATAAATACTGGCACAATTGAGCACAAAACGGGCACAATTGACTACAGTTGAGAAACAGTAGAAAACCAAATGTGGGGTGCCGAGCCGGTTTAATTTTTGCATTTCAATATCAAAATATAAGCGAAACGGGGTTGCAATAGTGTGCTTTATTTTTTACTGACCCTACCTAGGTACTTCTCAATTATTATTCATTAATTTAATAGGTACTAGAACGATTTAATATGGACATTCAAAGTGAGCTTATTTCACAAAGCCAAATAGTGATACCTAATTTAGATTCTCATGATCATATTCCAGAAAAACATTGCATGTTTCCGATATTTTCCATGCGTTTTCATAGTAAACGCGCCAGTAAAGGAATTTATTTACATATTTATTTATTCACTCTTCACAAACCCTAATTTTTATTAGTAATTACATGCAAAGGAAACTTACAACTAAGTAGATAAAAGCAAAACAAATGCTTGACTAGGAAATACTAACTAGCAATACACACAAATAAAAGAGCGATGTCCTGATACAACAAATCCAGTATTATAAAACCAGAAAATGCTTGGGGTTTTCGCGAGTATTTTCAGCCACGAGTCTTTTATGCTTACACACATTAAATGAAACTTTAAATTTACACTTATAACACTAGATAAATCCGAATTTACGATAAAATAGTTGTCAGTACAAACTAAACATCATTCGTATCAGCGGCCATCTTGAAAATCCGGCATGCGCGTGACGTCACAGCAATTGTGAACAAATTTAGCCGATTGAGCATGTAGAGTTTACGATTCTTGGTTTTTCTTAAATTCAATATGGCGGCATTCTGACGTAACCGATAATGTTTCTGTCAAACAAACACTTTCAACAATCCATAGTTTTTAGATTTGAAATTTTTTAGATCGAATTTGAAAAAAAAAAAAATTTGCTCGAAAACAAGGGCATTTCAAAATTTCTTTGAAATGCAAATTTTAGTTTCAAATTTTCTAAAAATTTTGAATAGGAAAAGCTATTTATTAAATTCTAGAATTAAAGTGTGTCCAATGGCCTACCGAAAAATGTCTACCAAAATGCATATTCATTTTTCGGTTAGGTATTCAAAGGTTAGGTCAGAATGCCGCCATATTGAATTTAAGAAAGTGCCTTCTCACGCCGCCATCTTAAAAACAAATTCCACTTATCATATGTCATTGAAAAGGGAATTTTAAGCTCTATCCAACTGTGTAAAAAAATATACAGGGTTCCATAAAAAATTCTTGACTTGGGTCCATTTCCAAAGTAACCGGAAGTGATATTCAATTGTTTTTTTATGAAAAGTGTGCGTCTCAATGACTTACCCGTTCCAGCCGATTTTCAAATTTTTAAATTTAAAGACAACTGAATGACACTTTGTATAACGATTTCGTTGTCACCCGGTATATGGTATAGCACCATTGTCGACGTCATTAACGAAGTCGTCAGCTGTTTGCCACCATTATGGCCAAGGACAATACACACTTGCTTATCGAACTCGATTATTGGAATCAAGTTCATATGGAGCGGTCGTAGTTAAGGGTCATATTCTCCGTAGTTCATAAAGCCTGGCTTAGTGGAAACGCTTGGCTTTTTGCGTGACAAAGCCGAGCTTTTCCACTAAGCCAGGCTTTATGAACTACGGAGAATATGGGCCTAAGAATATACATTGATGATGAAAAATATTATTTAACTGTGGTGCAAACACTCTACGTCAAGACGAGAAGCGACACGCTACGTCATCACTGGTGCTTAGGTATGGCGGGGGCGCTAGGCTAGATTCTTGATTATTACCCATCAATTTAAACGGACGTCAAAATATTCTGACGTCGAAAATCATCAACAGATGGCGCCACTGAAGGATCTCATTTTTGTTATCAAATTTAATAGATGCCGTTTGGAGCTTCTTGGAGATCCAAAATGTATAATATGTCCCTGTAGTCAAGGTATCCTTCAACAGGGATGGAGTAATGTAAACAAGCTAGACTGTAGTGTCAGGAGCATTTACCCTCAGATTTGACTGGATTTAATCCATTTCCCAAAATCATAAATCACAACAAAAAAAAATATGATACTTGCTTCTTCGTGTAACGAAATAGGTGCCAAGATCGTGTGTAAAAATCGTGTAATTGTGAGACTGAGAGCGTGTAAAAACGTGTAATTTGACCAGCATATCGTGTAATTTCACAAGTTCAGATTGGCAACACTGTTGACATGTAACAACCCGTATTCTAACCTCATAAAAATGTCAAAATGCCGGCTGGTTGGCAAAAGTCACGTGGTTTGGATTCCCTAATTACCTTGCGTTCGATATTTTGCTCAAAGTGTAGAGCGAGCTGAGCGGAGCCGTAATCACGTGACCAGCGAGCGAACGGAGCAGTTGAACGCCGTATAAAAGTACCGGAAATTTTAATAAACGAACGCGAATGAGGCTGCACCGAGTACACTTTTTAAATAAACGAACGGTAAAGTCAAGCTCGGAGAACTCAGACCAAAATAACGAACGCACGGTTAGGCATTCCAGGTTAATGTCATAACCGATCCGCCATATTAGCTTGGGGGGCACACAAAAGCCAAATATAACCTGATTCAATGTTAAACCAAGAATTTTCAATCTATTTTGTGAAGATGCCTTCTTTTTGCTGCGTTGTTGGGTACTCTAGTAGAGCGGAAAGAGATAAAGAAAGGTTTTTCAGGATCCCAGCAGCATTAAGAGATCTAGGGAATCGTCTAAACGAGCTAAAAAAGGAACGACGAAATCTGTGGATTAAATGCCTCAAAAGGAGAGATTTAACTGAAACGTTTCTGAAAAATGCTCGTATTTGTTCAAAACATTTTGTTAATGGTAAGTATTATGACTGCCTTGTTGTTAAAATACAAAAAAAAATTCATCTCGGTACATCAAAAAAGTTGTTTATGTTTCTACAAGTAGGTATATAGGTAACTTTTAATACCTTTTAGGTAGTCCAGCAGAATTTAAGGATACAAACAATCCGGATTGGGTCCCCAGTACAAATTTAGGATATACTACGATGATTGATAGAAGCCCAGAATGAACAAGCCAGTAAGCTAAGCTACATGCCAGATCTGTGCACCGATCAGAACAGTCAAAACGTTTGAGGAGTCATTCTACCACAAATCTATTTTGCTAAAGTTTATTTGTAAGGTTGTTAGTATCAAACTTTTTTATCTTTTAAACAATTTAGATTCTTAAGCATTATTTTTGTTAATAAATTGTTTGTTTACGTTTACTATTATTATTATTATTACTATATTGTTGAATTGAAATGTAAAGTGGCATGTCTGTAAATAAAGATTCATTCATTCATTCCATTCATTCACAAAAACTAAAAACAACTTAAAATTTATTGAATAAATCAAAAAACGCAAAAATTCCAAAGCACAAACTCAAAAAACATTGTAAACAATGATTTATAGGCTTTGTTGGCCCCTCAGCTAATATGGCGGGCCTGTCAAAAGTCATGTGACCTGGAATGCCTAATTGGCGGTAAATTTTTTTTGAGGTTAAGTTTGCCGCTGATTTTGTTTACCTACTGCCGAGCCGGGACAAAGTTTTATCAACGGTTTTATATAGTTTTCATTATACGTATAGTTGTTACTGTGGTTGTTATCTGTGACTATGACTGAGCAGGAGACTGTTTCTGTGTCCAAGGTATATTTTTGCTCCTTAAGACTTTCCAAGAGGTTCCTCGATTTGATTTTTTTTTTCACAAAATGATAGGGCATTTTTGTTTTCCCAAACAATTTCAAAAGATCCAAGAAATCTTCGAAGGAACAAATACTCAAGCCGAAAAAGGACGAGTTTTCTGATAATTTGTGGTATCAAGAATACACAGATTTGTGGGAGGCACTCAATAATGAATATGAGGTATTGTCATAAAAGTAGAGACATTACTCAAGATTTTCCTAAAATTTCAATGTTTTTAGAATCTAACTTCTGAAATGTTTACCGCAATGACCTCAGACCTCTTAGAATTTGTAAGTGCTAGCCATCGAGACTTAGTAGCTGAAATACCTACTGCGGTCCTGCTAACTGGTAACCTTGTAAACAATATTTTTAGGCTCATAATTTTAAATACACATTTCAGGAATTAACATGCCCGATCACGAGGCTCAATTTATAAATCTGAAAAGGCAAATTATAGCTGACATAACTCCTCATGTTGCATTTTTGCATAGCCAAGATTGTATCAATTTAAAATATCTCATTGAAAATATGATCAAACAATTTATTAAAAATAGTACGGAGGATGATGATGTGAGTAAATTTTTACCCGTTATTCTCAATCCCAGCTTTGTTATTTTTTTAGGATAATGATGATAATGAAGAATATACAAGCAATTTTAAAAAATCGGATTTTAGTTTGCCTTTATTGCAAAGCTGGTACCAATACATGTATCCTGTAAAGACTGAAAAAAAGTTGCTAGTTGTCATTGTACCAGATTTTGAAAGCTTCAGTGCTAACGTACTGCAAACATTTATCCTAATTATTAGCTCGTATTTAGCTAAATTACCTTTTGTGTTTGTTTTTGGCATTGCCACTTCCATTAATACACTCCACACATCTTTTCCATATCATGTCACCTCGAAGACCAATATTAAAGTTTTCAAGTGTGAGCCTTCCACAGTACACTTGAATAAAATGTTGGAAGGTGTCTTTTTGAGCCCATTTTGCCCCTTTCAGCTAGGAAGCAATGTTTTTGATTTGTTTACAGAGATTTTTTTGTACTATGATTTTTCTGTTTGGAATTTTGTACAAAATATTAAGGTACCTAAGATATAAAAATTTACTTAACAAAATTATGCTTATTTAGATTTATTAAAGTATGCAATGATGGAACATTTTTGCAATGGAAATGCTATGGCGCTTTGTCAAGTTGAGAAGAAAGATGTGAAGGAAATTTTACAGAAGTTCACTCATGAAGATTTTGAGAATGTTCGTCATCTTCTGTCATTTAGGTTAAGACTTATAATTAGGCAAACAAGGATTTTGATTAATTTTTTTTTGTTTATAGAAAATTTGTTGAATCTGAGCCCTATGAAAATAGAATACTCTTACTAACAGACGATGAATATTTCAAAGTAATAGTGTTTGAGAAAATTGTTATAATCCAAAGATATATTAGAAGATTGCATATATTTTTGAAATGTCTCCATACGCTTGTGTCAGACTTACCTGGGGCTCCTCTGGGTAAAAATGTAAGCAAATTAACCTTACCCAATTTCATAATTTAGCTTTACTTTTTGTCTAGTATAGAGAAATATATGCTCATGCAGTACGCCAACCCATTGCTAAATCGCATGAATACACAGAATGCTTACAACTGCTCAATTTCCAATCCAAAGACAATTTGTATGCTAAATTGGTGAGCATCAGGGATATTATTAGTGAATATATTAATGAGAAAACCAAAAAGACACAGTTGAAAGATTTTTTTAACAAAATCTGTAGTTTTATGGATTTGCTAAATACCTTAGATTCTAATCCTGAAGCCAGTGAGGAAATTGGAATAATGGAGTGTGACAATACTGAAATAGGGCAAGTAGCTGACCGTAGAGCATTCAAAAGTGTAGGTACATTTCTAAAATATTTTTATAAGAATGGGAATAAATATTTCTTTCAGACTTTATTTTCAAGATCACAACAAAAACCAAAACCTCTCAACAAATATGAGAAAATCCGCGAAGAAATTCTATACTATGTAACTAAGCAATTCGAGTTATTCTTGGTGCAACCTAGCACAATGCCTTTTTACGAAATATTCTTTTTTGATGATATTTCAATTAAATCGAAAATAATTGGTATGCACAGATCCGCTATTCATAATGCACTTAACGACCCTAACCATTATTTACAGGTGAGAATTATTTTGATTTTCCTTTGTTCCCTTTCTAGGACCAATTATTAGGTTGTCATGTTTTTTGCTAAAGATGTAGGTACCTATTCAAAATCAAGGCAATCTTATGGAAATTTCATTTAACGAAAGGTTTGTATTCAAAATAAGGCACCAATTTAAATTTCATATAGGCCATCCTGTGTGCTATGAAACTGGGTCCTATGGATTTTGTGAACAAAAATTATTGTATACATTTTTTTAAAACATTTTGAAGCATTTGCTGACGACAAGCAAGTATACTGTCATTTTAACATGTCGGACCTCAATTTAACGATGAATAGTATAAATAAAGATCTTCAGAGTATATCTGATATTTCTCAAGAACATGCTTTACAGCTTAATCCTGCTAAGTCAAAACTAATGTTTTTTGGTCGGAAAAAAAGTAGAACTTCATTTTCAATTTTAAACAATATTAATATACAAGGCCAGAAGCTTGAAATATGTGAATCCGCGCGAAATTTGGGTGTAATCATGGATAATGAGTTAAATTTTGAGGGGCATGTAAAAAGTCTTATACAAAAAGCTTATGCCTCAATAAAACAATTGTTTGGTAGTCGTCACATACTAGATTTTAATCTGAAAAAAAAATTATGTGAATCATTGGTATTATCGCATTTTAATTATGCAGATTTTCTTTATGGTTTTTGTTTGAAACAAACTGATTGTTATAGAATACAAAAAATACAAAATATGTGTGCTCGTTTGATTTGTGGCTTAAGAAAATATGACAGCATATCACATAAGATTAATGAAATTCAGTGGTTGAATATGTCTAATAGAAGACTGCTTCATTTAGGTTCTTTTTTCAACGAAATAATTAACGGACAAAAGCATATTTCAAATTCTTTCAAAATAAAAATTAAAACCAACTATACCATACATTCTTTGAATACTAGAAACAAAGACAAATTTATAATTCCTGGCCATAAAACAGAATTTTTTAAAAAAAGTTTTTTATATAATTCAATTATTCTTCACAATTCTATGCCTAATGAAATGAAAAGCTATACAACTACCAAATATAAAACCAAGTTAAAATCGGAACTGTTTAGTAAACAGATGCAGGATTACGGTCTGTCCCATCGCTAGTTCCTCTGCCGGCAGCTTCCCCTGAGTGCGAATTAAATTGAATAATGTCTAGGTTAAATTTATTTTTTATATTATAAATTATAATATAACAGACTATAAAAACTTCTAAGAAATTGTTAAATTTATTGCTTTAATAGGATAGTTACAGCAAAATTTCTTATAGGATGAAATTGGAATTTATCTTTAGTATTTTTTTATGTATGTCTCTTCACTTTACCAGTGCAATCATTTGTTTTTCTTCTATTTAAATTTAGGTCGGATTAGTGGGTTAAGTATGAGTAGCCATTGGCTAGACTTCGCCTGTTGGTTTGACGGATTTGGAAAAAAAAAAATGTATATAATTTAATTTGAAAATAAAGTCGATTATTTATTTATTTATTTATTTATTATTTACTCGATTATTTATTACTTTATAATTAATATAACAACAAATAAATAGTTCTCCAAGCACTGCTTGAAGCTTTTGACATGGTATCAAAACTCAAAATAACATCAATTTATTCCTAGTTTCTATGTACAAGAAGTTTTTGGTAAAATGTGCATAGTTTTTCAATACTTGACTATTTTCTACCTTCAACCTACTGCTTTTTGGAAAGATTTTGTGAAAATACTATTTTCACAAAATCTTTCCAAAAAGCAGTAGGTTGAAGGTAAAATTTTTGGTACTTGCACTTTTTTATGTAAAAAAAACATGCAATTTATTATACCCAAACTCCAAGATTTGTCATGCCTTTTAACTTTTTAGTGCAACTGCTGCGAGATATCCAATTGCCAAACCATCAAAGCCACCATGCCCGATATTTGTATCGCTTACAAGCTGCATTTGGAATGTGGCAAAATGATCAATTTGTATGACTGGTTACAAGCGTTTCTTTATATTGTCGATCCCAAATATTCTGATGATTTGGATGACAAATCCAATAAGTTGGTTGATCCAGAATTACAGTATCCTTTAAAATATAAGTTAGTTGTTATGTTATGGTTTGATGAAGCAATACTTCCTTAATTATTATATTACAGAGCGCGATTTACTCAAGCAGTGGCAGAATTGGAATATTTAGGATTTATTAAGAGCTCTAAGCGTAAGGCTGATCATGTGGCTCGTTTGACATGGGGTGGTTAGTTTTATTTATTATTTCTATAAAAAAATAAATTTAAAAACTTCAATTAATGCCTATTTTCTAAAATAAAATAAAAAATATCTAGAATTCATCAACTAAATGTAGATGTTGCTATTCTTGATCCCGCGACTCCTGTTATCTCTTTTGCCAAGCATATTTTCTCATAATATCTCTTATCCAGGGTTACAACTTGGTCAGGCGTGATCGCACTACTGGCCGAGGTGGTGAGGTAATGTTTTATGTTAGGGGTTTTATTAATTTTAGGGTGAATAATTGTATAAGTAAGAACTTCTCGGAATAATTGTGGATAAAATGCAAAGTTGGAACCAAGTTATATATTTTTGGAGGTTATTATAGACCTCCTGCTGACAGTCTTTAACTTTTGTGATAAATCTGAGGTAAACGTTTTAACCTTGCTAACGGAATGTGATAATCTTATTTGTATTGGGGATTTTAATGAAAAAATGGCAAACTTGCACTCCAACGATGTAAAGCGCTTCTTATTCCATTTAAAGTCTTATTTGGGCTTAAAAACGGGGTGTGACCCTGAAAAACGACTTAAGCTACTTAAATTTAAAAAAAAAAAATATATATAAGATCTCTCGTGAAAACCGCAGTCCTATATTCAAAATAGTCTCCGAGAAAATGCCTTGTGAAGACAGCGTTGCCAGACTCTAAATATGGAAGTGTGGTACACAATGCTCAAAAACTGTCGTACAGGGACGTACGCACCACGAAATCTTGTGGTACACATTACCTTACATAAAGTCTGTGTTTTATTTAAAGATAATTCCCCAAGTCAAAAATGTAGTAACTATGTTGGCAACACAAGCCTTTTCTACATAAAAAATTTGAAAGCATTGACAATTTTACATTGTATTGCCAACATAATGTCATTTTGACTTTTATCTTTAAAAAAAAAAACAGACTTTAATTCATTTTTAGTATACATTTACTAGAAAAAAATATGATTTTTTTGAGAGCGCAAAGCGTTGGAAACTTGAAAATAGCCCTTGCATTGAAAATTACAGCAATAGGAGTAAAGGGAAATCAAATAGAACTATTTATTAAATTTATTAAGGAACTTTGTGGGTATTTAGTCAAATTGAAATAAATTATTTTGTAACGTTGATGTTGGATTATGTGATGTGTCAATTGTGTCATACTACCCTAACTCCCTTACCATCAAATTCTGGGATACTGGTAGATCAAGAACAGTTTATTTCTTCTGTGAGAACGAACCGAAAATCACCTTTTCTACATTTAAAATCGACAAAAAAATTAAATCACTAGCACAGCTTGAATCGCAAGCATTCTATCGAAGTCTGCGGGCGACGTCATCACTATAAGCTGCTAATAGTGACGTCACTCGCAGGCCCAGAATTTGATGGCGAGGTAGTTAGGGGAGTATGACACAATTGATACATCACATAACCCAGCATATTCACATGCAAGGTTGTCAAGGTGCAAGGTAGTCAAGCAAGGTACCCAAGCAAGGTACCCAAACCCAATTTGGCCAACACATAATATAAATTTGTACCGACCATTTTAAGGGAGGTTTAACGGTAATCAACGTTTAAAGTGACTTTTTGCATATAAAAATGTCACTTTAAACGTTGATTATCGTTAAACCTTCCTTAAAATGGTCGGTGCAAATGGCCATAAAAAAGGAGAATTTAGAAATGTGGTATATATTACCATAAAATATTACCCAATCAACTTAATATTTCAAAACTGTGGTACATTACCGTACTACCGTACGCATTGATTTTCTTGTAACGAAGATGCCCTAAATTGTCGTACAAATACCACACCTGTCGTACGTCTGGCAACGCTGTGTGAAGATAAATTAGCAGGAACATGAGACGTCACAACCGCCGAAATCGCAGTCTTCTGTTCATTCAGTCGTCAAAGAACCGTACCTCATACTTTGAGTGGTTGCAATTCGCTCTAGTGAGATGTCTTTTGTTTCCGGCGGCGAATCTGCGATTGGAAAACCGTTCCGTATGAAACCGAAGTTTTCAGCAACCACTTGTCAATCGTTGTCAACCGACGTTGTACCGCTGGTTAACCAGGTTAGGCAACGGAACCCACCCTAAAAATATAGAAAAGGTATTTACCCTGAAGACTCGGAAGCTTGCAGGCAGCTAAGGAATTGTATGTTGTGGCGACAACTAGAGGAGAGGAGAAACATTATCTTGGGAGGCAAATAAGCATAAATTGTAACTGGATTAGACCTGGGGGATGTACTGGCAGAGAATGATTCCAATTTGGTAACTATTATGGTGTTCCCTTATACCATTCCCCTCCTGTTACAACGGACAATAGCAGAGAGCATAAAAGGCTTCGTGACAATATTTGGGCTTTGATGAATTTGCTCTTGCAATCTGTTGGAAACTATCCTTGCGTTCGGTATTCTGCTCAAAGAGCAGAGCGTGCTGAGCGGAGCCGTAATCACATGACCAGCGAGCGAACAGAGCAGTTGAACAAAGTATCCGAGTGCCCAAAATTTTATTAAAGGAACGCAAATGAGCCTGTTCCGAGTACACTTTTTGAATAAACGAACGGTAAATTCAAGCTCGGAGAACTCTGATCAAAATAACGAACGCACGGTGTCTACAGGACACTGGACGGGTCGGTAGAAGTCAAAGTTTCAAGGTCGATGGCAATGGAAAAGTTCCGAACGACCAGCGGAACGAACGGTAAATTCATGCTCGAAACTCAGATCATAATACCGAACGCACGGTATTGCACGAATCCGTACAGCTAAAGCACAGGCTAAAGTTTGTCTTCTGCATGAGTCGGTTTTCTTTAAGGAGAGTGCTAGGATTAAGCAAATAATTTGACTAACGCGCCACCATCCGGTATAAATGCGTCTATAGGTCTGTTCGCACAGAATTCACATACCAATCAAAGCGAATTTCAGTGGTTGAAAACAGTCAGAAAACGAGTTTCAACCAATGAAATTCACTCTGACTGGTTTGTGAGTTCTGTGCAAACAGACCTTTTGTCAAACCGTTGCATTTTCCTTGTCATACGCATTCCAACTTAAAAGTTATATATAGATGATAAATGAAAAACAATTAATTTCCAAACTCTATAGGTTTCCAAATATTTCCAAACGATTGAGTACCTATAATTATGGATTTTATTATCGCTGTGTCTAGAATCCCGGTACCGGTAACAAATTTTTTACTGGTAGTTTTGATGACGTCATCGATATGACGCACTTGTACCGGGATTTAAGTGAGTCCCGGTGTTTTGATTTTGTTTTTATCGTTATTTATCAGCTGATTGGTATTTTAAGTTAGTTTATTAATGTTTTCGTCACTTTTTTGAAACATTTCAAACCATAAAAGTTAGTTAGGTTCGAAATACAATATAAGGTATTTCGAACCTATTTGCACGGCTATAGCTTAAGGGATATTTAATCTAAGTGGAGCTTTGAATGTGACGTTTGCTTCTACCAGAGTCACATTCGAAGCTCCACTTAGATTAAATATCTCTTAAGATATAGCTGTGCAAATAGCCCTAAATGATTTGCGTTCGGAAATGTCGAACAACTCATCCCAGATTAGAAGTAATCTGCAATCAGATGATAGTAAACTAAGGTTGGTATTTCGGAAAACCCCTGAGAATTTAAACAAATTTAAAATGAAACACTTTATATAGCAGTTCATAATCGAATTTAATATTTATTAATTTACTTCAAGCCAATATAATATGTAACTATACTGTTTAGCATGTAGATTAAAATAAATATTTCTCATTTTTTATTTATAAGTTTGCAATCAGAACAATACCACATCTGGGGATTTTACACAAACTGGCAGATTTCACATGTCAAAGTCCCTTCAACTTCTTTATAACTTTTAAATGTTTGTCCTCCTACATTAAAAACCATTTAAAAAGTAATTTCACGTTGATAAACTCATCAAAACACTCCCCTTTACGTTCACACATCAACAAAACAAGTTAAAAACATAAAAAGTTAGGTTAAGTTGGACTTTGATAAAACAGAAACCGCCAACGACTACATTTTTTACCGGGATTTGCTTAAATCCCGGGTACCTAGTGCGTCATATGGGTGACGGCATCAAAACTACCGGTAAAAAATTTGTTACCGGTACCGGGATTCTAGACACAGCGTTTTATTATTGTCTGTATTTATTGAGCCTGCTGCCATGTATACGCACTTAATAGGGTACTTGCATGGAAAATTAAATTGATTATTGTTTATTGCAAACTGTAGGAAATCGAAAAAAAAATCGATGCCTGTTTTTTTATTTTGTCCAAATATGATTATTTCGAGAGTTATACAAATATCGAGTTTTGTATATATAGATACACTGAGCATGTGCGACGTCACAACGTATTATAAGTTATGACGTTAGAAGGACATTTCAAAGCGTTGTATCTCCGTCAATTTTTGACTAACAAGAAAAAGAAAAAACACGTGTTGACTTATTTTGATGCAAGGGGCCTATTAATTATTGATGATCATTGAAATTTTGTTGGTTTCCAAACTATTGATAATAGAGAGTTCTGTTCTCGTGCTGTCCAAATTTCAAATACCGTAACGCTATTTGACAAGTATGACAGTTCTTACAGTATTTAATTACGTCTGCAAGAACAGCAACTTCTAATCATTCCTCCATAAAAAAAAACACCAAAGGAAAATTAAACGAACTCGAGAATCTTCTGGATAAATTAGAAATTAGAAAACGAGCGAAAAAAAGTTGGGTTAGATCACTCAACTCAGCTGTCAAAATGTAAACAGAAAAAGGAATTAGAGGATTTTTGTGTCTTCGTGTCCGAGATCTATAAATAGAATACCGTTGATTGAATACCATGTAAAATACCCTATTTTTAGCGGTACATTGGCGTAGCGTCTGAGGCACGAGAACTTTCTATTGGGTATTATTATTCAAATATTCATGACAACGGGCTCTTTCACTAAAATTTAAATACGTAATGTAAGTATAAAATTCCAAAGGAGGGACTATTTTAGGCATATATACAAAAAAACAAAATTCTACAAGGTTAAATAAGTTTTTTACAGGCATTTGAAACCAGCGAAATTCAAAATCATTTGAAACGCGCCGATTCGCTGAGGTCACATAAATATTTTCATTTTCCATTTCGCTCATGTTGTTGCAAGAAGCTGACCGGCTCGGCTGCGTTGCGCTCTGTAAAAGCACAGCAAGGTTCGAATGCGCTGTTGTCGGTTGTGACTGAATGTAGTGCAACCTAAAAAAAATAAGTAAAACTAAACATAAAAAATTGTATTAAATTGTGTTTAGGCATAATTTCGAAAAAAAATGTTATAAAATCTTGAATCCATAACTAATTAATTGAACTACTTTTCTTGATATTTTTCCAACATTTCAGGATTATCTATTACAAATTTTCAATGTTGACAATTAGTGGCAACACGGTCAAATTGCGAGCTGCGACGTCATAAGTTCTTTTCACGTGGCTCCGGTTTAACTAACCGGGTTACAAAACGGTTAGAGAAATGACATACCGTTTTCTAACCCTGTTACTAAGTGACGTGATGGATACCTATCACTCGAATTTGAGCGGTATGTTGCGGTTTGTTAAACCAGAGCCACGTGAAAAGGGTTATAAGAAATAAATTCTGGGTTTTTATTTGGAGGTATTTCTTATTTTTCTGTTTTCTCAAGAAGGACTATGAATTTTTCAAAAGTAAAAATACAGAAAATTCTGTTTTTAGTTGCTTTATCCAAATATGCCAATTTCAAAAATTAGTGAAAGAGCCCAGCAGAACGATTTTATCTGACGGCCGTTCCCATATCGCACATTTCGTAGCAAGTCTTTTTCCTGGATTTAAAAAGAGATCTCGCCATATTTCTCAGGTAAATGTTGATGTAACCTGTCAAATTCAAAATTTTTGTGAATTTTATCACCATTAAAGCCTAGTACTCATAACTGCGAAATTCGCTCTTTATTGACATTGCTACGACAATTTAACGTTTGATTCACGCATACAACGTCAAATTGTCGACGCAATGTCAAAAAAGAGCGCCGGTTAAACTTTTTTATGTGACAGATGACAGGATTAAAAGCAATTTCACTAACCGTTCCATATTCAAAACTTCCTCCCGCTGCTCTGGAATCACGTGACACACCAAGATTTGTTTCTTTGTGTTGTTCGGAGCAGCACTTCCTTCTTTAGGGCGTTCGTTTGTGTTATGTTATTACGGTTATATCTGCCATAACCTGAAATATTACAGCTCAGTTCAAGTTAGTGCGACACAAACAAACAATCCTAAAATTCCTGTCCCTCCCTCCAATCTACTTCCGTATTGGATTAGATTGGAACGTAACTAGGGTGCAAGGATAATACACACTACTAAGGATTGCTTATCGGCCTCGTTTTTGGTAATCGCCGCCATATTGGTGTGTCACCATTTCCTACGTCATTAACAAGTCGTCAGCTGTTTGCACTACAGGTCATAGTTTAGAATTATTTAAATTTATGATGAAAAATAATATTTAATTTTGATTAACATAATACGCAAAGAGGAAGTATGTATAATGTAGTAAAACTAAGTATGCATAAAGCAAAAGCCCGCGGAATCATAACCTGTAGTGCAAACAGCCTACGTCAAGGCGAGAAGGGACATGCCTGGCCACGTCACAACTGTTGACATGGCGTGGTGGGAGGCTTCAGATTTGTTCCACACAGGCCTTAGGAGGATAGGTTATCCTGTAGTAGTAGTGTGTATCATCCTTGACTAGGATGTTCATTTGTACTTGCTCTCTACCTGCTGGAAGAATCGGAAAGATCTGATAGGAGCTGCTATTTAAAAGCCTTTAATAAGGACAAGTGTACGCCGATCTACTTGAATCAAGAAAAGCAGTACAAATGAACACCCTATTGTTTGAGGCTGGGTTACGTTTCCAACCTTCCGGCGGCGATTCTGCGATTACAAAAGCGTTCCGTATGAAACCGAAATTTCCAGCAACCACTGTCAACCGATGTCGTACCGACCGGTTAAGTTTGGAAACGGAACCCACCCTATAAATTGACAGAACGTGAAATTGCATTTCCCAAAATCCCAAATCGATTCCAAAACAAACAATCCAAAACAAAATCCAAACTTGAACCTTCTTTATGTTCTTGTTGATATGTTTTCATAGAATTTATTATTTATAGTTTTTTCCGTTTTGATAATTTGAAGTGTGCAGTGGATATGTCTTCAATTTCCTTTTTTCTACATATTAATTAATTTTTAACTAGGTACTCATGACAAAATAATAATTATTATTATTTATTCATTATGTCAGAAAAAACTCGATCCATTACCCTAATTTCGAGTGAAATTGGTGGAAGAAGTTCGGAAACTCAGGTATGTAGGAATTAAGTTTCCACTTCAGTGAACTTTTTATTATCAAAAACGAAGTAATTCAAATGAAAACTTTTATCTATTCTATGTTGAGACAAATTACTGCGATGCGATCTCGAAAGTAAATGAATGCTTTCCCATGGCTGTGTGCTTCTTTTTTAATAAAATAAATGCTAACAGCAATTTGCTTTGAATAAAGCAACAATATAATCTTTAGACCAAGCAGTCAAAGTGCTGTTTAAATTCTAGCGTTATTTCAAGATTTCTAATACTTTTTTTTGTAATAGTTGCATTACTATGTAGGCCAAGCAATGAAGGAAGTTTACCTCAACATAATTCGAAGTTAACATTTTTTTGGGGGGGATCAGTTCATTTTCATGCACTTAATAATTATATTAAATTTGCGACCTTGTACTTGCATAGGGTTTTTAGTTAGGGGTGGTTTTTAGGGGTAATTTGCGGTTTATGGAGAACGCTGCTCAAAGGGATGGTCCAATAGCAAAAAGTTTCAAATGATTGTTGTAGCTGAAGTTTTTTGCTATAAAAAACTCAGCGACAGCACCCTTCTATCTTCTATAGTTTTTTTTCTGCAGCGTCTTGAATACTAGCATGTTTTTATTCAAGGTCACTGAATCAACGTTTCACCTCTTTGCGCGCATTTGATGCAGCAGCAGCCAAATGCATAATCCGATTTCAATTTTTCAAACACCACATTATTGCTAATGAAATGCACTCTCCAATGCTTTTTTGTTCGAATTTTTTGCTTGATAATTAAGCGAGCACGGACTTGCCTAATGTGCGAGGAAGTTGTAAATTGCATCGAAAACTACCCCTTTCTTGCATTCACTGTAATTTCTAAACGGGGCCAAATATTTGGTGACAGTTTTTGACAATCGGCAGCCTATTTATTACTCTCATATTGCCCCAGCGGATTTTTTTTCGTTAATTACTCAATGACTCATTGGCCTGAACACGTCGCGCGGAATTTTTCAAAAAGTCAAAAAAAATTAAAATTGTCGCACAGCGCTGAAATTTGGTACGATGGCTTCATTTATTGTTTTTATGAATATACTGCAATTTTACTTGCTTCACATGACTGCTGCAACAATTTATGCAAAAAATTCGAACAAAAAAGCATTCGAGAGTGCATTTCATTAGCAATAATGGTGGTGTTTGAAAAATTGAAATCGGATTATGCCGCTGCTGTATCAAATGTCCACAAACAGGTGAAACGTTGATTCAGTGACCTTGAATAAAAACATGCAAGTATTCAAGACGCTGCAGAAAAAAAAGCTATAGAAGATAGAAGGGTGCTGTCGCTGAGTTTTTTATATCAAAAAACTTCAGCTACAACAATCATTTGAAACTTTTTGCTATTGGACCATCCCTTTGAGGAGTGTTCTCCATAAACCGCAAATTACCCCTAAAAACCACCCCTTACTAAAAACCCTTTGGAAGTACAAGGTCGCAAACTTAATATGTTATTAGGCACATAAAAATGAACCGATCCCCCCCAAAAAATGTTACCTTCTAATTGAGGTAAACCCTCTTTTCAGATAACTGTTTCTTGGACTAATGGTAGTATTCAGTATTATGATCTTTTGTTATATAGGGTGTGTCAGGTATGAGTACAAATATTTTACCATGAGATTATATGGCCCATTTCAAGCTAAAACTGTCCAATTAACCATGGCTCTATTATTAGTATTTTCGGAGTTATCACAGAATTTAAATTTAGAAAAATGTTAGCAACGTAACAAATGTCTGTGATGTTTCACACAATGTCCCCTATTTCAGTCACATTAATTTGTCTGGTAGTAACCTTCCTATTTTGGAAGTTAATGTAAAATTGTTATCCTTAGATATCAGCAAGAGTCCAGGCCCAGATAGGATCCCTCCAAGTCTTCTAAAACAATGTAGCTTTATACTGGCACGTCCACTTCATCTTTAACATACCTACCTTTGGATAACGGTATTTTTGTAACTTTCTGGAAAACTAGCTATAGTACGTAGTATTCTAAAATCAGGAGATACAGCCAAAGTTGATCACTATAGGCCCATTAGTATACTAAGCTGCATACCTAAAGCGAGACCTAACGTCTTTGAAAGCCTTGTTTGTGATTTTCTAGCTAAGAATTTGGGAAGCAGTTTCAGTGACAAACAATTGGGATTTCATGCGCATTGCTCGACTGAACACAACCTGCTCACATTCACTGACTTTTTGTTGGAGGTCTTGGAGGAGGGGCATCATGTACACGCCATATACGCCGATTTTTCAAAGGCGTTTGATGGTGTAAACCACGTCGCATCTTGGCCCTTTGCTTTTCAATGTGTACGTTAATAATATTTCGTCCTCTTTTTTACACCTATTTTTTAATGTTTGCTGATAATTTAAAATTTTACATGAGAGCCGACAAAACTGAAGATTGTTTAAAAATACATTCTGAGTTGGATCGTATTTTTTGTAGTCAAACCTGATACACCCTGTATAGGCTGTTCCTAGGGATATTGCTCGGGGTAATATAGGGTTTTCTAGTGGTGTTAGTATGTAGGAATTGTTTGTAGTTCCTATGATGATGAGGATGACGAATATTGCCAGGACCATTTCGGTTGCTCTGAAACAAATTTTTTTTGTTGAGGTTGTCGTTCTACATTTTGTTTACTAAATCGTAATTGAGTATTCTCCAGGGCTAATTTTAGTTCTATCAAATTATTTGATAAAAATAGGGTGTTCTAGTTGGGGTTCTGTTTCACATTCTTTATTGATTTTCTCTAAATTTTGCGTTTGTTTTGTTAATAATTTGTCATTAATAACGTTATTTAGAGTTTCTAGACAGTCAGCGAGATTATTGATATTCCCAATTTGTTGTATTTTGTTTTGTGAATTTTGGATATAGGAATTGCATAGTTCAATGGCCGTTTGCACTGACCATTTTAAGGTTATTAATCTCCTTGCATTATTTGGAATGTTGTGTATCTATGACACTCTCTGGGACACTGTATATTCTATTATTATAATTTAAAGTAGCAGCAATCATGAGATCATTTATGCTTTTAAGTGTAATGGACATAGGTTTGTTATCATGGCATTTTTGAATTCTGCTCCATTGTCGGAAGTAATTTTTTGGGGAACTCAAATAATAATCAAATGTATAAAAAATATCTACTGCACTGTCTTTCCAGACAAAACTGATTTCTGTGCAGGTGCATGCGGCAGGCGCTTCGATGATTCAAATAATTTGTCGAGACCCTAATTTTTGCCTTGTCTCATTTGAGAAACGATACCATAAATACCCAATTTACCAAAAACTATAGGGTTTCCTGAAATTTATGAAGAGCTATTTTATTCTATTTTAAAAAATGATATTAATTATATTTTTTGATGAACTTTTAGTTGATACTATAGTTACTAATTCCATTGAACCAAAAATTCAAGCCAAAAGATATTTCATTGCATCAATCAAATTTTGTGTTTCCAATTAAGTATATATTTTTTCTAGATATTACTAAGTTCCGGATCTCCAGAAGACTTTTATGAGAAAATTCACAAAATATCAAACATCCCTAAAGAAAAAATTCACCTTTACCTTGAGGATGGTACTGAAATAAAAACTATCGATTTTCTGAGAAATGGTGATAAAGTTTTCGTAACGGACAAAGATAGGTTTATTAAACCAATTTTTACCAGTGACTGGGTAACTCTCAACGTTGGTGGGAAATGCTTCACAACATCTAAAAAAACATTAATAATGAGTGAACCAGAAAGTATGCTCGCCAGAATGTTTTCAGAAGAAAATGGCTTTTTAATTCCTAGTAGTATTGACAAAAATGGGGCCTACCTCATTGACAGAAGTCCCAAATATTTTGAACCCATTTTAAACTACCTAAGATGCGGCCAACTAATTTATGATAAAAATGTAAATCCAGAAGGTATTTTGGCAGAAGCCAGATTTTTTGGCATAGAATCCGTAATACCGACTTTAGAGCTATCTTTAAATTCGACAAGAGAATCTAGAGATAAAGCTCCACTCACTAGAAGAGATGTAATAAATTCTTTAATAAGAAGCTCATATGCGAGTGAATTACGATATCAAGGTGTTAATTTGGCAGGATCCGACCTTAGCAAGCTGGATCTTAGATTTATTAATTTTAAATACGCAAATATGCAGGGTTGTAATTTAGTAGGAGCTAATTTGAGTTGGTGTTGCCTGGAGAGAGCTGACTTATCATGTGCAATATTGGATAATGCCCAGTTGGTTGGTAAGAACTTTTATTTATTTGTTAATATTTTTGGTTGGAAATTAACAATTTGATGTTGACCATGTAATCGATGGTATTTTTTCACAAAATTGTGGATAATAATTAAGTATTCCTAAAATTTCCTATGGGTGAATAAAAACTGTCCCCCGCAAGTGCCTGTCTCTGAAGCCGGCAAAACGATATTTCTGAGGATATTATAAAAAAATCTGTTTTTTTTTAGCAAGATTTTTTTTATGTTTTGGAGAAGCTGCCAAAATAATTAAATATGATGAGGTTATTTCGAGACAACACACAGCATGCTTTCCTCTTCCACTAAAACTTTTGACCAGTCAGTTTTACTTCAATCTTTTTCATAACAGTATAATTTTAGGTGGATTCAGTTTTGTGTGGATTCAAACTGTTGTTCTCTCCTTGAATTATATATGCATATGCATATCCAAAATGATACACTCAGTTATTCGCTTATCTTCCAGGTGTTTCGACGAACAATCACAATGCCAATCGACGTCCCAATGTCAAATTCGATTTCAAATTTTACTCAATCAAGCAAATTTTTATCGAAATTCGATTTCAAAGCAAAAAGCTCAATGACATTCTGAACCCCGCCACATATAAAAATTTGAACACAATCATTTCGCTTCCATTCTACAAAACACCGAAAGCTTTGCCTAATTTATGAACTCCCGAACATCCACAAAGAAGACAATCCATTCAGTCTCATTGTAAGTTCCATAGATTCGCTTACATACCATAGCAAAATCCCTAACGACAATTTTTCAGTCTCACATTGGACCATCCAGCTCATTAGATGGGGGATTCCACTCATTTGATTTGGACGATCAAGAGATTGCTTTGCAGTCCAACAAATTCTGGTCAGTTTTGATGTCGTTTCTCTGTTTTCCATCGTACCCATAAACCAGAATCTAGGATACCTAAACGATATGACGTTTCCTATATAAATTAGAAATATGTTTGCCTAACCACCATATATTTGGAATAGAAAAATGAATTCTATGAAGAAACGGGTTGAGTAGCTATGGAAAGTCCACCTGGCTATGTAATAGCCAACTTCTACATGGAACATTTCCAAAAAAGAATATCTTATATATAAAGTATACAGAAAACCAACATATACAGACAAATATCCTAACAAAGAATCGAATCGACATTCTAGACAAAAAAGAGGGGTTATAAAGACTGCTTGACAATGGGTATTTAGGAATTAATTTTTGAGGCAAGTTTTTATTATAACACCAAGAGCTAATTAAAATTTAGCATTTTCATTGACATCTCCGAATGCAACATTGATGTAATGAAAAACTTGTTTAGTTTAACATCGTATTGACGAATAGATCAAGAAGCAATTCCTTCACTGAAATTCTTTAATTTATATCATTCAGCTTGAGGTTCTGAAAATTTTAGCAAACAGTGATGGCTGGTGGAACGGGAAAGCAACCTGATTTGAGAGAACATGAAAATAGATGTTTTTCTCTACTCTTTTAAATTCTGACTGCATAATTTTTTTTTTTTGCCTTTAGCCTAGTTTGAAGTACTAGCCTTCCTAGGCCTATATAAAATTGAAATTACTAATACCACTAATACTAAGCTAGCAGCTAGCTATAAAAATTTCAAATGTTAATACTTTTAGGCATTCGGTGTTTAAGAGCCACAATGGAAGGTGCTTCAATGAGAAACTGTAATTTCAAAGATCCTTCTGGTCAAAGCGCTAACTTAGAAGGTGTAAATCTCAAGGGTGCATGCCTTGAAGACAGTGATATGGGTGGCGTTAACATGCGCATTGCCAATTGTAAAAACGCCAATTTAAAAAACTGTGATTTGAGAGCGGCTGTTCTGGCTGGGGCTGATTTAGAGGTAAGCAATTCAAGTTAAAAAAAAAGGGCAGATTCTCAAAAAGTATATCTTGCTGTTTTGTTTCTTGATAGTAGAAATTTATTATATATTTTTTACTACTCATCAATACATTTTTTCCTGTGGCACTTTTTGACTGTATTTTTGGACACACGGTAATTATTGGGCACTAACTCACCTAAACTTTTAATTATCTAGGTAATTTGGTTGGGCTCTTTCGAAAAATTCACCTGCGAAGCGTTTATCGATACTGTGCATTGTATAAATTATTCTTGTCTTGAAGATAACACAATCTCAATGCTTTCAAATATAACTAGTAAAATAATTGTTATAAGGAGGCTGATTTGGGGATATGTTTGAAAAATAGCTAAATGCAGGCCTGAAGAATATGTTTCGTAATTTTATCATTTCTTCAAAAAACCAAGCATACAGTTTACAATGGAGAAGGAATCACGTTGAGAATTCTTCGACCTAATGACTCCCTGAAACAATGAAAAAAATAAACACAAATGTCTACAGAAAAACCAACTCATACTAGTCAATATCTACATTTTCATTCAAACCACTGCCAAGCCACCCACCTAGGGGTCATCAGATCAAGGTTGTGACCTATCTTGAAAAAATAAGCAGATTTGACTTCCTTCTACTGCCATCCTTGCATCTTCAACCGTTGTTAGAAAACATCTAAAATACACTCATCAAAATAGTCTAGGGAACAAGAAATATCTGTCTTTCAATTTTAGGAAAGAACAACTTTTTAAAAAAGATAAAATGAGTATTATGGTATTATTTATTAAACAAATCTTGTCAAATTTACCATGTCTTCTTTTTTTGCAAACTTATTTAGTTTAAATATTTTAAAAATAAAATCAGCAAAAATTTCTGATAAGTATAGGAATTATCTTGTTCCCTAGACTATTTTGATGTGTGTAGTTCCCCACAAATATGCAACACAGACAATATACCATGTACCGATCCAATATATTAATTGACAAACTGTGTACAATCATTTACACCCTGATTTGAAAACCGTCACACATATTTGGAAAAACTTTTATAAAAGCTCTAAATGACATATCATATTCATTAATAGAAATTTTGGAAAGCTACATAGCTACAACAACTGCTCACTATGTAGAGATTGTAAAGTCACTATGTATTTATTTACTGTCTTACTTTTTTTGTGATCTTGACAAGTCAAATCCAATCTGAGTTGAAGTGTTCTATTATGACCCTGATGCCTTATTGATTCGATTAATTGAAAGTAACATTCATGTTTACTGTTATATGGTATGAATGAATTGCATTCTTTCATATTTATTCAATAAATATTTTTTTATGAATGGCTTAAGGGCGAATTAATTAATATTTCATATTATGTCAAATCACATTATTTTGTAGCAAAATTGAGAATAATTGCACCGTTTTAAAAAGAGCCCCATTCGGCCCTTGCAGAAATTTGTTGGCCAAAATTCGAAAAATAATTTGAAAAGGCTAAATAATAATAATATAGGTCTTTATTAAGTAAAAGTTCATAGGAATATTACAAAAAGGGTCAAAGTTTATTAACTATGATATGTATGTGATGCTTCTGAACTGGAGTATTTACATTTGGTGAAACCCCATCAAACTACTAGGCCAATGTAAATGTGTTAAAAATAAATACCTTCCCACTTGAGCACAGCTTCAGGTAGGCACCAAAGTAGGCACCTACTACTCAGGTTCGTGTCTTTTGAAAAATTAAGTTTTGCATCAGTTAGTGGTTGGCCCAATTGAAGATGTTGTTAGATAAAACATCTTTCACGCTTATCTTTCTTATAAACATCATTCAAAATAACATGAAATTAGTTGACATTTCTACTTTGTCATTTATCATATTTGTGTATAAATCTTAGTTTAAATGGGATGTAAATTCAACATGACTTGAAATTAAAATGCCCTTCAACTAAATAATTAGATGGTAAATAGGTACATATAATTATGTTTTCTTTTTCAGAACTGTGATTTATCTGGAAGTGATTTACATGAAGCAAATTTAAGAGGAGCCAATCTCAAAAATGCTGCCTTTGAGTTAATGCTTACGCCTCTACATATGAGCCAAACAATCCGTTAGTTTGTAAATAAAGGTTTGTTCCCACCTCCACAAAATCTGTTCAAGGACAACAACTGGGCAACAATAGAAAGCATGAAAGAAAATATTTTTATTGTCAAGAAATAAATGTTATTATAACGCATAATAATTCTAAGTGGGCATTCACACTATAATAAGTAGCAATAATAAGTAGCATGCTTCTTGCTTTCTAGCAGCAAGTCGCACGTCACATGCTACTTTGGTGTGAATACCTACTAAGACTTACAAGCTAAGAGGACAATATTTATAAATATGTATTACCTACCCAAAATAAAATTCTTATACTACACAATGGATATGATAACAAAATAAAAGGATTATAAGGTTTTGTAGAGTCAAACAGGTACAGGGTAGTAATTCACAATGTATGTATCACTATCAGAAAAAAATATTGAAAAACCCCAATAAGAATTCTCTTGAAGGGGTTTTGGGTGAAGTTCACCCATATCATTTTAGATTATTGAGGAGGCATAACTTATGTATTTAATAATATTTATATTTATATACTTAGGTACCATGTTTTCACCAAATTGGTATTATGTACTACATGCAAAATTTCAGGACAAATTTCAGCTTGTCTCTAATTTGTTCAAGGTTTGACCGAATCAACCCTGGGCTATCTCCAGTGAACTAAAAAAAATTATGTAAAAATGTTACTAAATAATTTATTATTCCCGGGATTATTCCATTATATTGTAATCATGAAAAGTTTATACTTATAAAATTAGTATCTGTCTTTGTATTTGATTGGATGAATCTCAAAGAATAAATTCATATTTTTCATGCTTGTAAATGGATTTTTTTCCTAATTAGGTAGATAAGTATTTTTAAATTTGGTTGCATTTTAAATTGATAGGGCGATAATAATACTTATAAAAAAAATAATAATCGATCTGACCTAAGTTAAATCAATTCAAATCTCAAACTGAATTCAAAACAAAAAGAAAAATCATCAACAAAGCAAATTCATTTGTTAATCCGATTCATATGGAACTCATCCGCGAAGGAAATTAAGCAAAAAATCCTATAGACATGGACACAGACATCTTATTTGCGACAGGATTCAAATTTGAAGCCTTTTTTTTTAATAACTCGTATTTCCAAATCCACTTCTCGAACTTTGTTGAAAGCTTAGGCGTCTGTTCATTGTACTAACATAGATTTTTTAAATGAATTGTTTTTTGACCTGGTTACTGAAGAAGGGCATCTTATGAACGGAATTGGGTTCCGGAAGCTGATACTGACAAGTTTTGGCTTTGACTGGTGCGGCCTCTTGGCCTCTCCATTATTTGGACATTCCATACTTGTCTTCTAACATTCCGAGGTATACGAGTGATGTAACCAAATAGTCTCATCGCTGGCGACTATGCAGTCCAAATCTAGGATGACTATATGGAAACTGCCACAACTGCTTTTAATTTGACAGGCGTCGGTCCATCTGTAGAATCAGAAGGTCACAAACCATAGGAATATTGTCTTGAGTCGGACTTGTCCTGGGGGAGGCAGTCGTGACTAGAGATGAAACGGATAGTTGTTTGGCTGAATACAGGATATCTGGCGAGCTGAGAGGCCGAATAGTCGAATATCTGGCAGCCGGATACCAGATATCGGGTCCATTGTCTCGTTGAATACTGTGACGAGTTGAACATCGCGTAGGTGAAGCGAACATGATCGGATCGATCCGGGTGGTTTCGGGAGTCAGCCAGAGATACCGTGCGTGGCGTTTGTTTTTTTTTAGAAAGTTCTTTTTTGTGTGACCTTCAGTAACTTTTTTCAGCTTCGAATAAATTTTTATATGGAGAATCACGTAGGTGACTTAACACCTGAATTTACAAGCCAAATTAAAAATAATTATAAGTAGGTACCTACCTAAGAACTAGGAAATTGAATATGATAGGTACTATTAAACTTTAATTTTTCAGAAACCTTCCTAAGTACCTATACTTAGGAATTTATTTCTTGGATAGGTAACTACTTATGCAAAAGTTTTGCATTTTTTTATTCTGGTTGTGTACCTATATCAGAATTATTATTGTCCAACAATAACAGATTTTGCACGGAAAGGGTATTCTACTCCTTACAATAGGAGTTTATTTTTCAATGGATCAAAATAAGGAAACTCATTCAGTATTTGTTGGCGGTGTGGCTATTTTGGACTATGAGACAAACGCTACACCCGATAAGTAATATTTTGAGTCTTGTTAGCAAGCAATGAACTCTCTAAAGCAAAAATATGGCAAGAAACATGTTTAGTGCGAAAATTCTTAGTAATGCAAAAACAAAAAAATGTCTTCCAATATCGACCTTTTCCTCATCATAGGTATTTAGCCATTTTATGATGTTGCTAGACTTGTTGATCTTTAAATATGTAGTTCGGACTACTTATTATTCCCACCAAACTACTTTCGAAAAATCAATCCCATGCCTATCTGATACATAGTCTTTGGTAGGTACCAACGAAATAACTACAGTCGGCGCGAAAATTTTCCCAACTAATGGAAAAGTTTTTTTTAAATTTTTTATATACATAATATCAAAAAAAAAAACTTTATTCGGGAAGTTATGCAAAATTGAACAATTTTATGTCAGACTAGTTTTTTTGGTATATATTATCATGAATCATACCCGAGTGCGACGTTGTAAAATTTACGTTTTTCCCAATTTGGGTTAATGTACAGTCATGAAACCTCGCATAAGGGATCCTCAAGGATGACCCTCTAACACGGCGTCTCAAACCCCGAGGGCTTAGAATAACGAAGACGGCCTTTGAAGCCTTTTCGATATTGTGCTATTGTAGTTGAGACAAATAACTATTTATTGGCCAACCCCCGTATACCGTTTACCAGAACTTTCGAGAATGGAATGTTTCCTTGACGGAATAATCTAGATCCAGATTTCAGAATTGATTGATGATAGTAGACAGTCCTAGAAAGGAATACCTAATCTAGAATATTTCAGAAATATCGAAGTGTGTATGAAAAGAAGGCGGTAAGATGCGAGTGTAATCTAGTGAAAAAGACCCTATGAATTCAATAAAAACCAGAGAAAGTAGCAACTTAGTACTAGAAGGATAGTTAAAAAAATATATAGGTAGGTACCTACCTAAAACCGAACCGTACCTACCTGGAGGCGAAAAATTATTACAGAAAAATAAAAAGAATTTATTTTGATATTGGATATGGGACATGCAGGGGGACAAGAGCTGGGCTGGGGAACAAACAGCAAGCAGAAGCAGACCAACCCTTGACACCGATCAAAGTTAAAAGGCTATAATCGAAGTTGATCTTGTGAAAGCATATTTTTTATGGTTTTCCTGAATGTCACAAGAAGCAAGTTTTTTATTCTTGTTTGTCCACATTTTAATAGCCATGTAGGATAAATGATTTTTGAAAAAATGCGGTTCTCTGATAATAATAATTACCAATTTTGAGAATGTGTGGTTCCATATTTCATATTTTAAGTAGTTTTTTTTTTCGGTTGGTTTTCTCGAATAAAAAAGTGCACGTTTTTGACACATGAAGAAACTTATAGGCAGGTTTTAACAACAATTTAGGAAAAAGTAGGTACTGATTTACGAACAGAGAAAGTGTCAGACCAAGAGGTGTCCGATAGAGGTATGTAATAAGTAGTAGAAGTAGATATGTTTAATTTTTTTTTGTTGCATAAGTATCAATAATTATTATTGGATCTATATATATAAAAATTAATGCCACTTTTCGTTGTAATTTTATAACTCAAGAACGGGCTCACCTAGCCAAACCAAATGTTTAGGCTTGGTTCGGACTATTTATTAGATGGTTTATGTGAAGTTTGCACAAAATCGGTCGAGCGGTTCTTCATTTATCACATTTTTTGTAATAAATGAATTATTCAATAAATGGAGGATCATTTTGTTATCATTATTATCTATTTATATAAAACACAGTTGTGTTGGTTCTAGCACTTATAATTCGAGAACAGCTGGACTGATTTTTATGATTCATGACCATACTAACATAATAGAACGAAAAAATCCAAAAAAAAAAGACAAAAAACAAAATTACCTATTTTACTTATTTATGAAAAAAATTCATTAAGCCCGCATACGGCGCCATCTCTTATAACCGATACCAAGTTTACCGCCACATTTTCATTGCAAACCATTTTGTATACGGCGCTATCTCTGATACCTAGAACGAAGCTCGCCGTTGCGCGGTAATTTCATTGCAGATACAGTAGAACAATGCTACTCAGGAACTGGAGCTATTCCAAACAGAACTATTCCACTATTCCGATCAGACAGAGTGGTGCAGAAAGAGTAGATCAGATAGAATAGTGCAGATAGAGTAGAACTAGGGTTGCCACCTGTTGATTTCCGAAAACCCGGACATCGGACATAATCGATAATCAATCCAAGCTAGGATACATTAAACATGCGTACATACATACCCTCGATCGTACATAATATGTACCATCGTCACCCAAAAGTATCTGGGACACATATAATGCATAATAATCTCCTGGACTAATTCTACTGTCATTCATTTCAATGCATTTAATTCATAGTTTGACAATAAAATTCATATATAATAGGACAAGAGCTATGTGATGCTGTCCCAGTTACTTTTGGTGACGATGATACCTACTTTATTATGATCGTCTTTTGGAAAATAAAGCACTGCGCTGAGTTATGGTTGTATTTTATTGCACTAAGTTGCCTGGCTACAAAATTTGCTTATGAATTTAAAAAAAAGGTGTTCCATAGCCTAAGGCGAAGCTAGGAAACCAGCCAAGAATGGCATTAAATCTGATTTTTTGCTGTGTGAAATATATAATTTTTCTCCGAATTTGTTCTAATTTCACAAATAATCCACTTTTTATATTTATTAATTGCGTTGGCCACTGATAACGTTTGTTGAATAGGTAGAAACGAATTTTTCTGCCTAGGCAGAAAAAGTCCACTTTTTCGTCACTAAGCTCGAAATCGGAGACGTTCGTGACACACCCGTCATTTAAGAAGTAGGTACGTTCAGAAATTAGTTAGGTATATAGACGTTTGGCAATAGGCCCCTTGCATCAAATTTTTTCATTGCTGATTTCGATAGTCCATGAAAAATAAGTCAACACGTGTTTTTTCTTTTTCTTGTTAGTCAAAAATTGACGGAGATGCAACGCTTTGAAATGTCCTTCTGACTTCATAACTTATAATACGTTGTGACGTCGCACATGCTCAGTATAGTATATCTATATATACAAAACTCAATATTTGTATAACTTTCGAAATAATCATATTTGGACAAAATAAAAAACACGCATCAATTTTTTTTCGATTTACTACAGTTTGCAATAAACAATAATCAATTTAATTTTCCATGCAAGTACCCAATTGCCTTTAACAATTTTATCATTAATTATTATCAATTATACACTTATCCAGATATTCTCGGACATTTTCATCATGCGTCCGGACACCGGACAAACCTTTAAAAAACCGGACAGTCCGGGTGAAAACCGGACAGGTGGCAACCCTAAGTAGAACAGATAGAGTAGTGCAGTGCAGATAGAGTGAAACAGGGCTGCGCTGGAGATTTTTTTGTTTTCTTTACATTCTTTGAACATTCCTGTGCCTGAGTTTATTTATTTGATGGTACACTTTACAAGAATAATGCCCACAAGCTGCCTAAAAAGGGATGATGTAAAATTTTAATTTTAGGTGACTTCTGATCCAGAGAGTAAACATTAATTTTTTTCAACCAAAGCCAAATTCACCATCGAAAAAAACTGAATTTAATTCAGCTAATAGATACGTTCAC